AATAGCGTTTTTTTTCTAGAATTTTGGAAAGGGTTTGGGATTAACCAGATGTAAAGAAATAGATATAACATTCCCCAACACAAAGAAAAAAATCAAATCAAATCAGCATTTCTGGTTCAGAAACACCGAGGTGGAGGGGTAATCTTCTCATAATAATACCCTGATACCCTGGGTGCTCTGTGATACTATTAATATTTCGATGTGTAAAGACCCCTTGTAAAGCATTTTATCTTATCTATTAAAACTACTGATCCTCCAAACAAGTGGTCAGTGTGAGTCTTGAAAAATTTCTGAGCAGTTTCGAGCCGCAGCCATCATTCTAAAATGCTGCATACTGTTGAGTGTATAAAGTCAGCGATCGGCCGGTAGTTTCCCGCGTACACCAGGTTTGGCAAGTGTACTTTTACTAGCACTCTAAATTGGATATCTTTTTATCAGGTACATTTTATAAACCTAATATGGCGTATTCAAATATAATATGAGCCCAGAATGTCTCCACCAAAATCAGTGGCATGTTTAACCAGATGTCAACAGATCACGGTCGTAGTCCCCATTTGTCATTCGCCCGTTGTCGTGAGCGAAATGCCGATACAAAATTTCTGTTTCGCATAGCTAGACGTACGTAGCTTCACACAGATTTTATCACCTGTAGATATATATATATACTTCTAAACAAATAAGCTCTACGGAAATGGAGTAATTTTGAGCGGAGACATGCCCGCCTGCGAGATATTTTAAGCGATTTTCGCAAGAAATTCGACTCATGAAAAATCTCGATTTTTTAAGGTTTTCCTGAAACATTAATATTTTCGAACATAGTTATCGCATCCTCTTCAAATTTAGTTGACTCCAATGAGTAAACTATTCATTTGAAATTGGCAAAGATTCTTAATTATATCAGGACCCAATAGTCTCTGAGCAAATTTTAAACTTCATGGACGAACATACCCCAATTTTATAGGAAAATTTATAACCTGACGAGGGAATTCCCCGTTAAATTGCATGCGAAAACCGATATCACACGAATCGCGATATCGGTTTTCAAGTGCAGTTTAACGCGGAATTCACGAGTCAGGTAATGAATTTTCCTTGAATCGCATAACTGAATGAAAATAAGAAAACAAGAAATTAAATCAGCAATATTATTGTTTTAATCCCGGGCGCGCGCTCTAGAAAGCCATTTCAAAGCAAACTGTCAGAAGTGTCATCATGTTAGCGAATAGAAATCAAGTTAGTTGAACACACCGTCCGGCTGCCAGACAAAGAGACACAGCGTTTATTAATCGGGATGTTATTGCACGTGAAATTAGTGCTTTCGCTTGCACAGTTCATTTCTCTAAGTTTCCCACCAAAGAGGTAAAAGGTGTAAATTATTTTCCTTGTCAAGCGAATTGTTTGGAATTTTGAAAAAAGATGTTAACGATAATCCGCTTGTAAATCCAGTGAAATACCACTATTACGTGTGAAGGTTGTTTAAAAAGTTTGAAAATTAATCTAAATTCAAGCACGTGGTACAAATAAAATTGTCGATGGTTCAAACATAACTGTGAAGCTCGCCGCGAGCTTCCGGACAGGAATTGAAAATACTCCGTGTCCGGCAGTCGAATGTTTTCCCGAATATTAAGTCATTACACTCAATATATTCAAGCTATACCATCCTAGGCGGAGTTATTGTTGTTTACATGGCTAAAGAGTAGGATTACCAGTTTCCAAACTGCCGTGAATTGTAGCGTTTTCCACGAGCTTCCGGACCCGAAATCGTAAATCGCTCCATGCCCGGCAGTGAAATATTTCCCGAATAGTAGGTGGTTCTACTTAGTATATTCGAGCTATAACAGTAAACAGTTGACAGTTGACGGTTACTCGAGTTTCACGCACAACGCGATGAGCTTATGTTTCTGTTTCACTCTACCTGTATTTGTATCAACACATGTTTATGTTAATGTATGTATCTATTTTCAGGGAAGTACGCAGCCTGGGAGGGTGGTTTGCGAGCGCCAGAGTGCGGGGGTTTGCCCCCCTGAAAATTTCGAAGAGTCATGTTTTAGTCCGCATTCCTTGCATTCTGAGGTCTCATTACATCATATGTTTTCTAATAGTTCCTCTTTTTTAACTCCCCCCTAACCCTAACCCTTTGTGGCCCGTGGGGGGGGAGGGGGGATTCCAGCAGTCTCGTGTACATAAAATGGTGCAGGGAGTCCAATCTTTCCAGTCCGTAGTGCGCTGTCTCAGCACCCTAATAAATCTCACTCAATGGAATGCGAATCAATGTTATTCTGTACGAATGACATACCTTGTCTTTGAGTCCTTTCAGATTCTTTTCGCAACACCTTCATTATTTTTTACAGCTGCGAAGTTGCAAGGGAACAGGAGTGGCGCAATGGCTAGAGCGCTCGCCTCCCACCGATGTGGCCCAAGTTCAATTCCTGGACTCAGCGTCATTAAAATGGGCCAGGGGCCCATGGGCTCCTGGTGGGTGGAGTTTGTTGTTGGTTCTCATCCTTGCTTCGAGGTTTTTACTCCGAGTTCTCCGGTTTTCCTCCCTGTTAGGAGTGTCATGATACCTGTAAGCACGCGTTACGTGCCTGTCTTGTTCTCGGGAATCATGGGATTGTAAGACATGTGCTCGCAAGTATGTAGTTTTGGCTGAACAGATGTGGATTAAAGTATTTGTTGAGTTTTATCGAATTTTTGATCTTTGTGGCGACCTTAACCATTCAACATTTTCCCAACACTCCCTCTACAAAAACCATTAGTTCTAAATTCTAATTCGATCTTAATGCATGAACAAGTTGTAAAGAGCTCGTGAACGCCTCCATTTTTCATCAAGTGATATGAGAAAGATACGTGCCATAATGGCGGTTGACATAAAACTTTGAATTTACCTCATGTAATTAGTTACGAAATGTTTTACATTTTTTTGATGTCTCACATGAAACAAAACAAACAAACAAACAAACAAACAATTCTCGAGAGTGCGCAGTACGGACTGGCCACAAAGAGTTACTGGTCAGCGGTGAGTTGGTCAGGACGGACGTTACTCTACGAGCTCCGCTAATCTTAATCAAGTTTGGATAATTTTTCGTTTCGTTTTGGATAATTTTTCGTTTCTTTTTTTCTCGATCGTTTTTCTTTTTTTGCTTTCTGAGAGATTCAAGAATGCCTGAGTCTGTTGCTAGCCTCAAGAGAGAGAACAGTAAGCTTAAAGATCAACTGTCTGTCATGGCGGATGAGATTGCTAAGATGAAGGAGATGCTGCTGGAGCAGTCAAAAAAACCTGCAGCGACTAATGACGAAGTAGAGCAAAGCTTAGAATTCATGAGTAAAGAATATGATGACTTTGAGCGATTCAGGGTCTCTGCTGGTAAAGAACTTGATCGCTTANATGAAGCAATTCAACCCTTCGAAGTTTCAAGGGATCCATAACTGCACTCGACCGCGGGAAACTAAACATTCCCGCTTTTGCTTACGCATATTAATATGAAATCCAATCTCCAAATGTCAATAGGCCGATCCAGCCCCTAATAAACAAAAGGCTTCATTGTACCCAGCAGGAACAGAGATTGTACAAATTCAAGCAACTACTCAGATTACTGCGAGCAATTATCGAAAAAGGCTGTCAAGGCGATGATGGAAACTTATCCGGTTTATGACGTCACTCCATAGCCTTTTCGAATATTTGAACTTCCGTTTACCTGTGGCTCGTGATGGATGACACCCCACGCAGTTTGTGCTGCCTAACCCTATGATGACAAATATTTAGCATCCCTCGTTGATCCAGGTTGAGAATTGAAATGAATCAAATCAGCCGGTAGCACTATATAATTCCTAACCTGTCTTCGTTTGCTTGATAGCTGTATTCACCGATATTAGTGGAAAGTTAGCTACTGTTGTTGAAGCCGAAGAACAAATCTCAGTTATACAGTTAACAATATGAAGAATGGTTCAGATGTCGTTGCAGTGGAAGCTGAAAAGGTATGACATTTCCTTCGCCTCTAAAACATGACATAATGTTTGTTCTTTTTCAAATTAATCTCTCATGTTCCACATATGTGAACGAAATATGAATCGCAACAATAATTGCTCATAATGCGCTAAAGTTTTGAAGGTGTCTTATCAAATAAAATAAAAGCTTCTTAGGAGCCGCCTTAATTTTGGAGTTATTACAAACTTCATAGGGTGATTAACGAACAATTTTAGTTCGCATGCTCCCAACCTTCCGCTTATCAGAAGAAGTACACGTACGATATTTCACTTACAAGCAAATTTTAACTACGTTTAATTAAATGTTTACGATTATTGATGACAAAGGCGTTCACATCTGAAGAGCATGAACCACGAACGATGAGACCCAATGGCATTATGAATAGTGGTTCGTACAATTCGGTGATTTAATTTTCTGAACGTATATGAAAAACCTTTTTGTTTTCTTATGATTATTTTATTCTTTTAAGAAAATGGATTATTTCTTTCATTTACATGAAGTGTAACCTTAGGCTATCATGTAAACTTTTACCCATAACGCCATGGGGTGCCACGCTCATCGTTCATGCTTTTTATTTGTGGGTGTCAACGCTTAACATGATGTAAGCGTTAAAAGCAGAACGAGATTTAGTGTGCACAAGTAATCAGTGTAGAGCTACAAAAACTGATTGATAATTTTCAAGTCCATCTTTTAGATGAACTTGACTACCAATTCAGTGTAATCGGTATTACAGAAACAAAAATTACAAATTCATCTGGGCTAGATTTCAATGCCTGCATACCAAACTATCAGTTTGAATATGTCCCAACACCTCTATCATGTGGAGGTGTTGGAATGTACATTAATAATTGTTTGAAATATAAGGTTCTGGAGAGAACATCTAAAGACGCTTTTCAGGCTTTATGGATCGAAATTGAATCCCTAAAGAGTAAAAATATCGTTTGTGGAGTGATTTATAGGCAGCATAATGATCCGGAACAATTCCTCCAATATGTTGACTTTACTTTAGAAAAACTTAGCTAGTGGGAAGTGTCCCTTGTAGTATTGTGTANTATGCGTGTGGGCGACACTGATGCGTTTCAAAAATGTTGCTGTATTCGGATCTCATGTAGCTGCAATGGAGAGAAAAGATACATCATGAACATTTTTTGTGATTTGGTAGATCATATTGTGTGATCGCTAGGGTAATATCATAGAAAGTCAGTAAAACGGGCTAAAATTTTGTCAACCCAAGTAAACGTCAGTGTTATTATTCACTTTATGATTGGATTATGAAGGTTCAACTGTCCCCTTCGCCTCGATTCTTAACTCATTTTGGATTGTTTGGAATTATAATAAAGAGCGTGTCTTGTTTGGACATGTATGAATATTTTGGCCAACAAATCGCAAATGGTTTATATAAGTCTTCAAATGAAACCCAATTGAGATGCAGCTGTCACGGGTAAAATAAAACAAACGACATGGAGATCCTCGACCAAAACGTTTCCCTATTGGCAAAATGAGCAATCTCACTAACGTACAAGACAATCAAATTTCACATACTATTCGAGAGCTTTGCCAATAATGAGATCACAAACGCGTCCAAAGGCCTCTTGATCTCCTTGGAAGCCTTCCATTTCTGTGCCAAACTTGGTAGACAGAAGATTACACCCCTTCTGCTCTAGCAGGGAGAAGAGTTCCTCATCTTTCACCACCGCTATCTTAACAATTTCAGCAATGCCGTGACGCAAGCAGGCGCTGTGTTGAGAGCGGAAAAAGCTTCTGTCAGTGAGCGTTAGAACAGGAGGATGATACGCACCGAACAGGTTTTTGAAGCCAAATCCGTCACAACCAGTGCGAGGAGAGAGACCAGCGTCGATGCCAGCCACCACGCTGGTGGACAGCATTATGTAAGGTGTGTTACGATGATACATGGAGCATGCGCAGCCGGTGACGTCATGTATGACGCCGTTTCCCACGACAAAAACAGGCTCGTTTCGCTTGACTCGTAACTTTTTCAGCATCACAAGGAGGTTCTGTACTGTTGCGATATCTTTGTCAACTTCGCCAGCGGTAATGACAACCTTCTGCAGTTCGATGCAGTGCTCATCGAAATACGCCTGTATTTCTTCTCCGTAGATTTTATTCACATTGCTATCAACAACTGCCACACACCTGGGGACAGAAAAAAAAATTCATCAGGAAATGTCTCTAGACTAGAAAAGTATCAAAAATAAGTCTGCAACTCTTGTCCTTTCAATTATCTAAAAACATTTTCTGAGCCATTATCTTACGTTTAATACTAAGCTGCCGTTAGACATCCACTTTCGGGAAACAACCTCTTCATTGAAATGGTGTTCCACGACAAATCAGATTTCTAAGCCATTAAAGGTATATATGTCTTGTGTAATGTATTCAAGTGAAGTTTGAACCGATGGTCATTTATCAGTAAAAGCACCTAGTTATTTCATACGAATGGAGCATAGAAACTCCTTAACCTTAGTAAATAGTAAGAGCAATTTAAGATAAGCGCATCATACGAACCTCCCTAATGGCTTATACACGTTTTTCAGCTCTGGATTGGCTGGGTCTAATACTTTATACGCAATTTTTGCGGTTGTGGTCAGGGTATGCCTCATGGTGCACTCGACCACCGAGGCATCAGGTTTGGACAAAATGTCTCCTTCACATTTGCGGTAAATGGATGTTGGATAAAGCCCGTGAGGGTCAAACTTCTCGAGATACTCGGCATTGTCCAGGTAACATTCTGGGCAACCAGTTTCTTTGAGGAAACGGTGTACAGGCTTGGTACCAATGTTGCTTTCATCTGCTACTATCTTGGCGATTTCACACCACTTGGAAATTGCTTCTGTATTGCTTGAAGTTCTAAGGTTGAGAATGAAAAAAAAAGGACTCGTTGATGTGCGACAGGCTTTAAACGTTAATAAACTTGAAAAAATAAAAGAGTTTTGAACGCGTCGGGGATTTTGTCGACACTCACGAGATCCATCGGAGATGCTTCTTGCAAATGCATCGGGCGAGTTTGTAGTGTATTTCACAGCAAGACAACACGTACTATTTTGTTGTTATCCCTAGTTGCTCTTCCTCATTACGAAAATGACCCATGAATGCTTTTGACAAACACTACATGCATTGAGAAAGAGAGAAGAATGAATAAGAGGATGCCAAGGAATTCTAAACACGTATGATGCACGGTCCTTCGCAGTAGAGAGCGCTATTTGTGCAATAGCGAAAATCAGATCTGAAAAAAAATCAGGCCTGTACGGGATTCGAACCACTGACCTCTGCGATACTAGTGCAGCGCTCTACCAATTGAGCTAACAAGCCAACTGAGAGCAGGCCGTTAAGTTGAGCAGAACGGCCTGCTCCCAGTTGGCTTGTTAGCTCAATCGGTAGAGCGCTGCACTAGTATCGCAGAGGTCAGTGGTTCGAATCCCGTACAGGCCTGATTTTTTTTCAGATCTGATTTTCGCTATTGCACAAATAGCGCTCTCTACTGCGAAGGACCGTGCATCATACGTGTTTAGAATTCCTTGGCATCCTCTTATTCATTCTTCTCTCTTTCTCAATGCATGTAGTGTTTGTCAAAAGCATTCATGGGTCATTTTCGTAATGAGGAAGAGCAACTAGGGATAACAACAAAATAGTACGTGTTGTCTTGCTGTGAAATACACTACAAACTCGCCCGATGCATTTGCAAGAAGCATCTCCGATGGATCTCGTGAGTGTCGACAAAATCCCCGACGCGTTCAAAACTCTTTTATTTTTTCAAGTTTATTAACGTTTAAAGCCTGTCGCACATCAACGAGTCCTTTTTTTTTCATTCTCAACCTTAGAACTTCAAGCAATACAGAAGCAATTTCCAAGTGGTGTGAAATCGCCAAGATAGTAGCAGATGAAAGCAACATTGGTACCAAGCCTGTACACCGTTTCCTCAAAGAAACTGGTTGCCCAGAATGTTACCTGGACAATGCCGAGTATCTCGAGAAGTTTGACCCTCACGGGCTTTATCCAACATCCATTTACCGCAAATGTGAAGGAGACATTTTGTCCAAACCTGATGCCTCGGTGGTCGAGTGCACCATGAGGCATACCCTGACCACAACCGCAAAAATTGCGTATAAAGTATTAGACCCAGCCAATCCAGAGCTGAAAAACGTGTATAAGCCATTAGGGAGGTTCGTATGATGCGCTTATCTTAAATTGCTCTTACTATTTACTAAGGTTAAGGAGTTTCTATGCTCCATTCGTATGAAATAACTAGGTGCTTTTACTGATAAATGACCATCGGTTCAAACTTCACTTGAATACATTACACAAGACATATATACCTTTAATGGCTTAGAAATCTGATTTGTCGTGGAACACCATTTCAATGAAGAGGTTGTTTCCCGAAAGTGGATGTCTAACGGCAGCTTAGTATTAAACGTAAGATAATGGCTCAGAAAATGTTTTTAGATAATTGAAAGGACAAGAGTTGCAGACTTATTTTTGATACTTTTCTAGTCTAGAGACATTTCCTGATGAATTTTTTTTTCTGTCCCCAGGTGTGTGGCAGTTGTTGATAGCAATGTGAATAAAATCTACGGAGAAGAAATACAGGCGTATTTCGATGAGCACTGCATCGAACTGCAGAAGGTTGTCATTACCGCTGGCGAAGTTGACAAAGATATCGCAACAGTACAGAACCTCCTTGTGATGCTGAAAAAGTTACGAGTCAAGCGAAACGAGCCTGTTTTTGTCGTGGGAAACGGCGTCATACATGACGTCACCGGCTGCGCATGCTCCATGTATCATCGTAACACACCTTACATAATGCTGTCCACCAGCGTGGTGGCTGGCATCGACGCTGGTCTCTCTCCTCGCACTGGTTGTGACGGATTTGGCTTCAAAAACCTGTTCGGTGCGTATCATCCTCCTGTTCTAACGCTCACTGACAGAAGCTTTTTCCGCTCTCAACACAGCGCCTGCTTGCGTCACGGCATTGCTGAAATTGTTAAGATAGCGGTGGTGAAAGATGAGGAACTCTTCTCCCTGCTAGAGCAGAAGGGGTGTAATCTTCTGTCTACCAAGTTTGGCACAGAAATGGAAGGCTTCCAAGGAGATCAAGAGGCCTTTGGACGCGTTTGTGATCTCATTATTGGCAAAGCTCTCGAATAGTATGTGAAATTTGATTGTCTTGTACGTTAGTGAGATTGCTCATTTTGCCAATAGGGAAACGTTTTGGTCGAGGATCTCCATGTCGTTTGTTTTATTTTACCCGTGACAGCTGCATCTCAATTGGGTTTCATTTGAAGACTTATATAAACCATTTGCGATTTGTTGGCCAAAATATTCATACATGTCCAAACAAGACACGCTCTTTATTATAATTCCAAACAATCCAAAATGAGTTAAGAATCGAGGCGAAGGGGACAGTTGAACCTTCATAATCCAATCATAAAGTGAATAATAACACTGACGTTTACTTGGGTTGACAAAATTTTAGCCCGTTTTACTGACTTTCTATGATATTACCCTAGCGATCACACAATATGATCTACCAAATCACAAAAAATGTTCATGATGTATCTTTTCTCTCCATTGCAGCTACATGAGATCCGAATACAGCAACATTTTTGAAACGCATCAGTGTCGCCCACACGCATATGGGCACACTTGGAGCGCTGGGTACGAACTCGCTTCAGGAATGCTCCACGGTCAGGCTGTGGCCACTGGGATGGGCTTCGGTGCCTATCTTTCTCTCTGCCTAGGTTGGATTACGCAAAACGAGTTTGATCGGATCCTGAAGCTCCTCAGTGACCTTGGATTATCTTTGTGGCACCCTGTCATGGAAGATTCTCAGGCTCTGTACCAAATCCAGGCAAGCGTTATCGAGAAGCGGGCTGGAAACTTAGTGGCACCAGTACCCAAAGGACTCGGAAAGTGCGGCTACATCAACGACATGCCTTATGAGCTGCTTGACAAGCGCCTCCGAGAGTACCGAAAGGTCACCCATGGATATCCAAGGCAAGGGGTTGGCATTGAAGTGCACTGCAAGGATATTGGGCTTGAGGATCCGGCCACTGTGGGAAACGTAAACAAGGAACTTCCCAACGAAGACGCTTAGGATATTGCATTGGGAAACGGCTGCCATCTCAATGGCGTTAAACTATGAGGCTGTAATATAAGATGTCGTTACCCTTCAATGATCGTTTTGTAGAAGAAAATAGTTATTATGTAATATTCTAATAATTAATGTATTCTTAGACAGGTCAAAAGTATTTTATTTACTCCAAGTACTGTCTGTTTAGGTAGCCCGCCTAGAATAGCTTTGATAACTGCGGGCTACAAAGGCCTTTATTTTTTTAATTTAAAAAAAATAATAAAGTCAATGTTGTTGTTGTTGTTGTAGTACTTAGATAGAAAGAGCATTCAGTTAACTTACCGATTTGAATGAGTTACTTTGTGCATGACATTTCAAAGGTGCAGTTCTGATCTCCATTCTAAAATGCTTGTTTAAGGTTCCCAAGCTAGACACAAAAAAAATAATAATGAATCCGCTAGTTTGAAAAGAAGTAGACGATGAAAATTTTCCGATAGGATAACAATTAAGTTTTTCCAAAGGAATTGAAACAATATTCATTTCAGATCCAACTTTTGGATCTTAATTTACCAGCGAATATCCTCGAATCTGTAGCCAATAATTGTGAATTACCTCTGAGCTTTAATGTTATACTTCATAAAATTAATTTCATGTTATGTCACAGCTTCAAAAGATATCGTTTTTAAATAAAGGATTTGATTGATTGATTAAAACCGAGTGTAGTTCTATCCTTGAACTCTCTCTGCCATGCTCTATCATGGGGTCTACAAGGATTTTCGGTTAAAATTACTGCTGCATGCTCAAAACGCCAATCTGCCTCTCCCTCCTCCCCATTCTCCCCTCATTAAACATCTCGACCTTATGTTCGCAACAGTTGGTTTTGATGCATCACCATCACTGCTAATACCTTCCTACGGCTGAGAAAGCAAACAAAAGTTCCGTCCGTCTCTTTATTTTTTCTAATTTCTTCATGTTGATATGCCTGTGACATATGACACTAGATACATTTAATTCGAACTACCAAAAATCAATGGTTTATTTGCAATTTCTATTTAGCTCCCGCGAAAGCAACTAGAAATTGCAGAATGAATGGACGAATTTCAAGCTAATGATATCAAACTGACGTTCTCTCTCATACTTTGTTTACAAAAAAGTAGCTGCTACTCTTTTTAGAATAATTGAAATTGCACCCGCTTCACAAACTGCAATAACTACATTACCACTGAGAATTTTCTCTTTGTTATTTGGTGTTAAATCAGTATTGAAAGCTGCTGTTTGAAACTGTGCTGAAGTCTTTTCATCAAAAGTAACTTCACTTCTGCAAACAAATACATCAGAGATCAATCTATAGAAGGACAATTTCCTGGCTTAATAGCATCAAATTAGCGATACCATTTTCTTTCAGTGGCCAAAAATGATAAAGATCGAGCAACTGAAGTTGCTTCTTGTACTCAAGGTTTTGATTGCGATGATTTTATTGCCGTAAAAGTCATAGATATTTCATTAAAAGACCATTTCTGGAAAATTTCATTTTTTATCTGCGAGCAATACGGTCATTGTTGACAGAATTGAATTTAACAATAGTGTGGACCAGCCTTTATTTCTAATGGTCAGGCTGACTTTTGACGTTTTCATTTCTTAAAAACACGTTGACGTGATATGATCAGCGTCTTCTCCGCAGACTTCGATTTGGACAAAACTGACTTTCATTACCGCCTCGATAAGAATCTTTTCCCACCGATATCAATGTCTGGAGCGTTTCATTGAAGATAAGTACGTTTGAAAACCAATCCATTCTCAAGAAAACACCCCGTCATTTCTAAGTCCATCTGGAAAAGCAAGTCCCCTGACTACCAACAGTTTTCGGCTGACTTAGTTGTATGAAGGTTGGTAAATTTCATGAAACTTTGTAGGCCATGCAATCGAGATTTAGAATAACTTGAGGAAGTACTAAGCGGATATATGTAAAACGACAAGCACAACTGAATGATACCAATCAGTTGGTAGCTTTTTTTTTCGTGGTTTTATCAACTGAATTGATAATATAAATATGGCCACCGGAAAGAGATTCTAGATCTGACGTTTCAAGCGTTAGCCCTTCATCAGAGGAAAGGGCTAACGAAGGCCTCTTACCCTTGAAACTCTTAACAATTCACCTGACTCTGATGAGGCAGCGTGGCCGAGTGGTCAGCGCGTCGGACTCGTAATCCGCAGCTCCCGGGTTCGAGTTCAGCTCGGACCACTGTCTGGATTTGTCTCACAGTAGCTCCGAGTTCAAATCCTCGGCCACGCTTGTAAATAGCCAACTGGTTTGCCTCCGGCCAGTTGGGATTCTTAACAATTTATGTTCAATTTGAATTATTTATTTCTGTTGTTTATTGTGGGCCTCCTGGAAAGTAGCTTGTAGCGAAGTGTGGTGCCACATTAAAAATAAAACTTAACTTAACTTAACTAACTGAACTGACTCAGTTTACAAAACCAAATTATCTTCTTATACCCCCCATGACACCACCGCAACACCGCAGTTTTTTTGGAAACTTATTCCTCTCTACATTTGTCGGTACCTGTAGCTACTGCTGGTCATACTGTCATTGTAATTTGGATATATCAACAAAGTTGAAGTGGTAAATTGGCCACCGTAACGATTACAAAAGCTGACGTCTCGAGCGTTAGCCCTTCGCTCCGACGAAGGGCTAACGCTCGAAACGTCAGCTTTTGTAATCGTTACGGTGGCCAATTTACCACTTCAACTTTGTTGATATATCCAAATTACAATGACAGTATGACCAGCAGTAGCTACAGGTACCGACAAATGTAGAGAGGAATAAGTTTCCAAAAAAACTGCGGTGTTGCGGTGGTGTCATGGGGGGTATAAGAAGATAATTTGGTTTTGTAAACTGAGTCAGTTCAGTTAGTTAAGTTAAGTTAAGTTTTATTTTTAATGTGGCACCACACTTCGCTACAAGCTACTTTCCAGGAGGCCCACAATAAACAACAGAAATAAATAATTCAAATTGAACATAAATTGTTAAGAATCCCAACTGGCCGGAGGCAAACCAGTTGGCTATTTACAAGCGTGGCCGAGGATTTGAACTCGGAGCTACTGTGAGACAAATCCAGACAGTGGTCCGAGCTGAACTCGAACCCGGGAGCTGCGGATTACGAGTCCGACGCGCTGACCACTCGGCCACGCTGCCTCATCAGAGTCAGGTGAATTGTTAAGAGTTTCAAGGGTAAGAGGCCTTCGTTAGCCCTTTCCTCTGATGAAGGGCTAACGCTTGAAACGTCAGATCTAGAATCTCTTTCCGGTGGCCATATTTATATTATCAATTCAGTTGATAAAACCACGAAAAAAAAAGCTACCAACTGATTGGTATCATTCAGTTGTGCTTGTCGTTTTACATATATCCGCTTAGTACTTCCTCAAGTTATTCTAAATCTCGATTGCATGGCCTACAAAGTTTCATGAAATTTACCAACCTTCATACAACTAAGTCAGCCGAAAACTGTTGGTAGTCAGGGGACTTGCTTTTCCAGATGGACTTAGAAATGACGGGGTGTTTTCTTGAGAATGGATTGGTTTTCAAACGTACTTATCTTCAATGAAACGCTCCAGACATTGATATCGGTGGGAAAAGATTCTTATCGAGGCGGTAATGAAAGTCAGTTTTGTCCAAATCGAAGTCTGCGGAGAAGACGCTGATCATATCACGTCAACGTGTTTTTAAGAAATGAANGGGGCAGACGCTAAAGGCATTTTTTGATCGTTACTATAGATCTGTAGACAAATGTAATCCTTCATGCTGAAACTGATGCTTGCAACTGTTATTTTTCAAGCTACAAATTTCAATCAACTGAAAGGCGAGACTTACGGTCTCAAGGGGTTCTTCGAGAGGAACCTAAAGGTAAGTGAATATTTATCGATGTTCAAGTAATAAAGTTTCCGCCTTTCAGTTTCGCCGTTTCAATAGTCTTCAATACTGTTATTTAGCCAGGCAATGCTCTACCTAAAAAAAATGCAATAGTAAAATAAAATAAAAAAAAGGACAGAAATATAGAGGAGCGAATAGCTGAACTTTCACATCCTAGTTTAACCTCGCTTACTTTGTGAGAAAATGTTCGTGTATATGGGGCTTGCCTGCGCGGTTGGGTTGTCACTTTTTTTTCTCTAAGATGAAAAGATTTTACGGGCCGAGGTATTGAGAAGGGTAAAGAAAACCTTCAGGACGCGTTTCAATGGGAAAAGTAGATCATCCAGTTGAGTATTTTAAAGGTTACTTAGGTTAGGGTCGCTCAATCAGAGACCAAAACGTTCGTGTGTGAAGCTGCATGTTTTGATTTTTTACTGTGGTTATACTAACACGGCACAAAAGGATCAAATGGATGATAATTTACCACACTTAGGTTATTCTATTCCCACTGAGTACTTCCATCGAAAGCAATCCCTCTTATATCAAAGTCTACCATTCTAAACCTCTAAATGCTATGCCACGTGTAGGTGTGCACATGTTACAAATGTATATTTTCATTGCAGCCACCTCCCTGTGGCGCCAGTTCTTGTCAAAATGGCTGCAAATGGCTCCAAGAAAACGACAAGGAAAAACTGTGTAGCTGCGCTGAAGGCTATAATGGCTCATACCGCGAGCAAAAAGTCTCAACAAATGAAACTGGTGAGCATGTTAGTTTTATTCCATATAGTTTCAGTCAAAAAACACAAAAAAAAAAATACTAGAAAAAGGAAACAACAACAACAACAACATCAAAAACAGGAGTAGACGAGGTGATATTTACTTGGTATTTGTGTTTTTGGCTTTACTTAGAATGATTATAATGATAACAAATAAAATTATAAAAAAATAATGAGATCATTTGACGAAAAAAGGGAGAGCAGTCTACTGAACACGCAAAACGGATAAGACACGCGGCAGATATAAACTAACGCCAGATAGTATCCCTTTTTAGATTCAACTCCGATTGTGACTACTTCTTGCGTTTATAAACCCTGTAAAAACAACGCCAACTGTTTAGACATCACCAATGGCTACTCTTGTCATTGCCAGAATGGATTTCACGGCGAAAACTGCGAAAACAGTGAGCATTTAATACTTTTCCTCAGCAATCTTTGCCAGAAACCTTTCCAAGAAAAGTTCAATCAATTTTGAAATCAATTTGGCTCTTCAAAAGAACTTCATATTTCCCATACATCAGAAACCTTGGCGTGCATGGTAGAAACGAAGCGCGAAAGCAAATGACGAGAGAGTAGCGGAGGAGCGAAAGAGGAACGCGAATGCCCAATCCAAGCCTCCTTCATGTTTTCCGCTCAAATGCTATTACCACGCCGTTCATTTTTGCGCGCAGTTTTGCTAAATGAACGCATGGAAGAGACTGATTACAGAGACGTTTGAAGCGGAAGTCCAGACCAAGTTCATGGGAATTAATAATGTTAGAGAAGCAGCGATGTTTCTAGTCACCTCATGCTACTGAGAACGAGGTAAGGTGAACAGCAACGTAGGTCTTAAGTGTCTTTTCCATGAAAGCTCTCTTCTTCCATGCGTTGACAAGTGCCTGTTTTGTGTTATGCAGTGGAAAGTTGCCTGGCCTTGAATCTGGCGGGTGACCACTCAGAAGGTTTGCAACAAATTCATTTGAAAAGCATTGGCTGGGTTCCAGTGCTCTGCGACCAACAAACAAATGGCGGGGGTTGGACAGTCCTACAAAGACGCACGTATCCCTTCAGAAGGGTCAATTTCGACAGAAACTGAACTGACTGCGAAGCTGGCTTTGGAAACATTCAAGAAAGTAATTTTTGGCTCGGTAACAAAATTATTCACACGCTTATGAAAACGCCTCGGTTTCTTCGAATTGAGCTCAGGACGGATAGAAATGAAAACAGCTTCGCTGAGTATAGTGATGTCAAAGTGAATGGTTTGCCTGATAAATACCGTCTTCAAATGCAATCTCCGAATGGCTATTTAGGATATATCGGAGACTGCGGTGGTCCTTCTTCCTGGAAGTATTTTACAACTAAGTACTGATAATGACCAACAGTCTACCATAAACTGTGCTGTGAGAGATGGTGCTGGCTGGTGGTGCAAGAACTGTGGGTGTGGAAATCTCAATCGACAACGGTTACCTAAGTGGAATTCCTGGACTCCACAAGGTACTATCGTGTTCAGCGAGATAAAGGTACGTTGAACATTTGGGATCAGCACGACATGTTGATAGCTGTTAAGAGAGAAACCGGCTTACTAAGTTCGCGGTGACAGACTTCCTGCCTACTGGTTAGATAAGAATGTCGATATGTAATGACTCTTCCCAATCATGACGTCTACAAAGATGGCAAAGATATATGGCTTCACACCTACTTATTGTCATACTGAGTTTATTAATCATTTACTTCAAAATCTTTAGTCCTTGTTACTTCGCTACTTTTCCCAAATGAACCACCAAAAAGGTTTGTTTAAAACATATTTACTTGCAGCTATACAATTCAACAAATGGTAAACACCACAGCGTACACTATTGAGTTATGGATGTACGTGGGAGGTTGCTAAGCACGAAACAAGCGCAAGAGTCGCGCGAGGCGATAGCCGAGAGCGACTCTAGCTTCGTTATCAAATTTTTGACTCCTGGATTTTTCATTCTTCGACTTTTTACACTATAGCAAAATCAAGCTAAATCTGGCATGAAACGTTCAACAGAGACTTCTTCACTAAGATACAACACATCCAGACGAACTGTTAGCTGGTTTTACAGGACTTGAATCTTCGGGCTCTGGAACTGGTTTCACATCACCTGACGCAGCTTGGGAAGCCTGTGCAAATTATAGTAATAAGAAATTAAGAGTGAATATCTTGGACATAAAATTTCGTAATATTCAAGATAGTATTCAGGTATCTGCTATTCTATCGGGAAACGTTCCAACAACGAGAAGGCTTTCCTTGTTTAAGATTACTCGTTGTGCATTACACTGCAGTGGAAAGTAGATCTCGGTTCAACCAATCACTCAAGTACCATACAGACGGTCATGCGCTGTGGTAGCCTATTCCAGGCTCCAGTCAAAGGACGCGATTAAAAGAGCTGACTCTAGTGAGACAGTGATTGCGCTTTGCCTTTATGACCCACGCCGCCTTTTGTGCACCCTCCGTTCGTTTTCATTGACTAAGGTCGGACTGGCACAGGCTAACGTTGTTGATAACGTAACTACGGCTTCGCTTTGGGGAGCCACCGAAAAACTCTTTCGTTACACTACAGTAAATAGTTTGAAGGCTTGAGGGCAACATTTGATCATTTAATCTGATCGACTGGGTGAGGGTAGTCCAGAGAAGGACTGTTTGTGGCAGTGCTGACGGATTGGTAACGGATTGCAGACAAAAACAAACGTATAAAACCATCAACAACAGCAACTAACCGGAGGGGGGTGAGCTTTGGACGCGTCAAATCCAGCATATGTATCTCCTGACCATGAGGCGTGTGGAGCAGGCATCGTGAACTCCTGAGGACTTGCTAGGCCATGCGTTGCCTTTACTTCAAGTTCGGGTGGCTCGGCAGGGACCTTGTGGAAATAACTAAACAAAGACACAAGAAATTAATGAACACAATTATGAGCGGTACATAGCAACATTGTAGCTCAGAGAGATGGAGGGGTGATACAATGGGAGAAGTCTCTCTAACAGTTTCCCGGATGGAGAGAGTCACTACGAAAGTAAAAACCTCTCACCCAACATCACCCGACCACGGCTAGAGCCCGGATCTCTTGCTCCTGAGTGTATCGTCCAAGTAAAATACGCCGGTTATCCGGTTATTTCTTTACAATTCTATCATCACAAAACCTAATTGATGGGTGCAGTAAATAAGCAAAAGACTTAACAGGAATCATCTCTCTAGTCTTGTTCGGAATACTGAAGATCATAATACGAGTAACAGATACAGTGATGTCCTTACATGAATCCATTCTCATGGTTGGCCTTCTCCAGCTTCTTTCGAATGATAGGTCCAAGTTTCAGGAAAAATGGATGTTGCCATGGTCTGGCTGTTGTTCCGGGCCCATTAGTGCTGGAGTACTCATGGGAAATTGCTTCTGCCTTCTTGTACACTGAAGTGGAAAAAAGAAATGTTCTCTCAAATTCACTTCACTATTATATACAAGTTCATCTGCTTTCTGAGTGGTCGTCTGTGCCACCATCTTTCAGCTACGACTAGGATCGTTCAGTCTGCCAGTTAGAAAGATTGAGAGTCAGTCTGTCTGATTGCCTATCAGTATATCTGTTTCTCTTGAAACGAAATTCAGAGTTAGACACGTAACATAATGATAACTTTACATTTATCACTCTCTTGTAGAGCTCGAATTGCTTTTCCACACTGATCTTCATCAAGAAGTGTTTCTCCACAAAAGCAGTATGCCTGTAAGTACCAAAAACATAAATAGATCTATCAGTATTGCTAAAGAACGTTATTTTAAAGTCAAATTTCACGGTCTACTTCTCAACCCTAGAACTGAAAAGAGATTCCTTTAGGGGTATCAAATTGGCTCTGTCTGTCTGTCTGTCTGTTTAGAATGTCCATTTATTGAGTTTGAGCAGGATCCTTTCAGGGTTTTCATGGGTACCCCAGCTCAGGGCTCTGCTCCTCATCAAATCTTTAGCATGCTAATAGAAAGCAGACTAATATGTCAGACAATTCCAATTTGAAAGTTTCATTATGCAACTACCTTCAACCGTCCTGCCAATAGTAGAATTGGGGTATTTTAAGAATTTGACCTACATAAGACTGATAAAAGGCAGCTTTCAGATCAAGGTATTTCTTCCATTTAGCGGCTTTTGTTGGCTCCACTGATTTCAGAGAATCACCTGTAGTGAATAAATATGTAATAAATAAATAAATAAATATATAAATAACCGAGTTATAGGGCTGGTATCACTGTACTCTGAAAAGTTAGAGCAATGACAATGATAGTCAAATATTAACGAATAATTCATTATAAATAATTACCAACAGCATGGTATCATGAGGTGACACCCCCTTGAAACAAAAGGTTTACTATTAAATTAACGGGAGTGGGGTGTGGTGGGTTAGGGTGCTGGAGGGTGGGGTGGGTGCTGTGCTGGAGGGTGGGGTAGGTCAGAGTCTTATGGAGAGAATTTTTCTAATATTGAACCATTACGCTGAAGAAAATATTTTCATAGGCACAAACAACTTACTTGCTGCTGTGAACAGTTTTGAAGTCTCATTAGTCAGTGCAGAGATAAGAGAAGCTTTATGTTTGAGCTCCACTGCTCGTGCCACAGTAACTAAAGGAAAAGTATGAGTAATAGTTTTAGTTGTTATTGTCCAGCTCAGATATACGCCAATAAAGAAAAAGCACATAGAAGGCACCTAAATTGGCATGCAAGCATGAAAAGAAAAGAAAAAGAAAGCTTGATTTGTTCTCCTTTTTGTTCAAGGACTATTATGGTAATATGCTGCGAGAAAAGTGCTAGGCTTGTGTAGATACATAACTACATACATACATACATACATACATACATACATACATACATACATACATACATAGGTTAGTTGACCACTCTCCATGGAGGCTTTTCAGGGCCAATTCCCACCCATCCCACCCCAGGGGAGGACATCCACAACACAGAAATCTCGTGCGTGGGAAATTAACGTCTTCTACCCCTAACCCTGCAGGAGATGGGGCCTATGGTTTATTTGTCCTTATCCGAGAAGACTAGAACATCTATAGATCCATTTCTTGATTATAGAAAGGTAGCTAATTCTCCTCACTTATTTTAAGACCATGAGTATCGGTCTGGCCGGGGCTCAAACCCTCGACCTCCCACACAACACAATCTGGCGCTCTAACCACTTGAGCTAACCGAGGCAGTTGATCTACACTGTTGTATGTGTTTCATTGGGATTATAGTCAAAATTTGGAAAATCATTTTGAACTGCAATATGAATTAATCAAACCAAAAAACGAACTATAAAACAAAATGATGCTGACCCAATGACAATTTCATTGTAACAGTAAAATGTGCAATGTCAAAAATACCTATTGCAAGGTACATGTATGAAAATGTGGATTTATCAAAATCTTAATATAAGTGTAGACTTATCAATTAAGATACATTTTTAAGAGTACATTTATCCCTTATTCACTCCTAAAGTTTATGATTAGAGGGGGAAAGAAAGTAAGAATAGAACAAAATGTGATTAAAAAAAATGAGGTCAAAAGGGTGGCTGTTGCGAATTGTACTCTGATGTTCTCACCTTCTTGTGCTTCAGCAATACACTGCATCTGATAAGCCTCCACCACTCGCTGATCAGTATCAGCACCCTTTTCAGCTGATAACTCACCCAGGCGTGGCATCAGGCTTTCCTACAAGCACAAAAGATGATATCAGCTTTATTAAATGACGGTTTGGAGGTTGATCTCACAACATTTGGCATTTGACTACAATCAAATTCTACGCACTATTTTAACTGTAAATGCATGTGTAGCGTTGAAAAAATAACAAGTCAAAATGAAAAAAAAGTCAAGCTCATTGAAATCATCTGGTCATTAAACAGCCACTGATTTAATTCAGAAGTTTTTAAATGGCCCATTATACAAGCATGTGCCTGTATACCATTTTTGTCCCCCCTTAAATTTTGCAGAACTGTTGTTTTTAGCACACAATCCAAATGTCTGGGAGAGGAAGGGATATCCAGAATGTACCTACTTTATTCTAAATACCTTGACAAACTTGAACATTCCTCCTGCAGTTCTAAGGCATGTGTGGACTTCCTTTGCTTCATCCATGGATACCCTGTGAAAAAAGGAACACTTGCAAAATTGATTGCCTCCTCTGGGCAGTGCAATATCAAAAGTACATGGAACAATCAAGCCACTGAGGACAAAACAAAGAAGAACCAGGGACAAAGTACAACAATACAGGTTACAAGCCAAAAAGAAGAAAAATTCAAGAGCATGTCTGGTGTCCATCCTAATGCCATTATAGACTCATTTTCGAAATTGTCAAATTATCAGCTATCACCTTTAAAAGTTAAATTATCAATCTGTTTATGTTGTCCTTCAGCAGCATAATCAAAAACATACTGACTGTTCCAATGAGGCCTTAAACTGCTATCTAAAAAGTAAAATTTAAAATCCAAGCTTTCACCAGACAACGGCTTCATCAATTATTAAAGAGTATCATAAATTATCAAGGAGTAAGATAAATTTGATAATTGCATAAGTTATCAACTACCACGATTTACAACAATTCTTCTGATGTACAACATAATCAAACTTACTCTCCCTTAGCAGCTTGTTTTGCTGCATACTTTGTATACCAGATGGCGACATTCAAGGAGATGGATGTCAACTCAAAGGCACTGTCAGCAGCACAACTGAGGAAAAAGTGAACATCAACAAGAGAACATGATTATCCTTATATCCTAATTGTATTCCTGGTGTTGGTAGTTGAAATTGATAGGCTTGACCATTTATTTATTATAATATTTCTTTTTACTCATAGACCAGTTAAGGGGCAAGGCTAGAAGATGGTCAGGTGGCATAGGAGAGGGGCAAAGGAGATGAAGAGCTTTATGTATACATGGTGCAGAATGTCTCTTTTGGGAAGCAGAGGAAAATGCAGTGTAAACCAAGTCTTTTGTGTTTAAAGAAAATAAAAATGAAGGGAGAATAATGAAATTATTTAACGTAAACAAGGACAAATATGATACCATTTCCCACAAGTCATTGTCCCCTTTTACTTTTGTTGCATAAACCAGCCTTGGATAATTACTTACGTTGGAGTATTTCCACAAATTGAGTTTGTCCACTTGAACATGACTAGTTTACGAAGCTTGCTGTCACCTGAGCCTTGGGCTGGATCATTCACAAGACCATGAAGAAGTGACAAGTAAAGCTCAGTGGCCTGTTGGATTGATTTAGGATCATTTGAAGGATCTGTCAAGGAATTTAAGAGCTTTGCCCTTGCCATCTTCAATTCTCTGCAAAAAGAAAATATAAATACTTTGCTTTTTTCCTGGAGGGGAGTTCTCAATTGATCAAAATACAATAAGAATGAGCAGATTTGGATTATAATTATCAAACAAGCGTGTCACACTATCTTGAAGTGCTGTAGACATGTACACTTACTATAATAATTTCTACAGTATATCCCTCATGAAAAGGAGGATTAATATCTAGGAGTGTTCTTGACCATATCCATAGGAACAAAATTAATCAATGATTAACACTCCTTTCAAATACCCTTAATTTCAAGAGTGAGAGTTTTACCCGGGTTATCCCAGTGGCAATTATACCACAGAGTCAATTCAAACATTATCAAATACAACCCATTTTAGTTCATTTTTATTTCGAGGCAATCGGCACCTGGAACCCTTATGGAGGCCAGATACTGAGCACTGTAGGTTTACACATTTTTATTTTTTCCATTTCATGCACAAGGATTGGAAAGCACATTCCTCCTCATCCATTTTTTTTTCTTTTCTATGACTCATTTTAAATGCTCTCTCTGGAAAACGATGATTTTAATTTGTTTTCTACGGTGTAGGTTGGTAGTTAAGAAATAAAGCAAATGAGAAACTTACGAGAGCATCTTCGACGACGTAGAATTAGTTGCCACGTTTCGAATCGACTCAAACGTAACAGGAGCAGAAGCCTTGATTGGGTTTCTGTGAAACCAGTGCGCCATTTTGTTCCTATTTATAGCAGAAGATGCAATGTTACTTATTTTGATAGCTACTATTAAAAATTTGCGTGTGTTAAATGAGGATGTAAGTAGTATTGATACTGGCCGCTGACAAAATGACTACGAAAGAGATCCCATTCATGTCAGCTTACATGAAGTCTAACCCATACAAAGACGGTACTTTGGCGCCTTCTTAAAATCAAAGTGATATCACTTTGAAATATTCTTGCAAAAATATTTCGACCTGTACCTCTTGCATTAAAGGTGAGTGGAATGTCATTTGAGGCGAGGATTTTGGATTCCTTGAGGCCCATATTCCCACAGTTGAATGACCACGTTTTAACGGAATGCATAAGGAAAGTTCAAGAAACCGTTGGAAGCGATCCAGCGACAATTGTACCGGGATGCGTTGACCTCCTCTTGAGTGGGACTATAAATGAAGAAAATTTCACTCCAAACAGATCAGTTCCGCCTGTGGCAAAACCAACAAACGAAAAACCAAATTCACTTGTTATAGAAGAAGACGAAGATGTAGTGTATATCTCGACAACGAGCCGAGTTCAGACAACGGCTGCAACCAGACTAGCACCAGTGATCATTGATAACATCGAAATTACTGCATACCACTCATCGTCTACCCCAAGAGGTGCATCTACCCTATTTCCGCTAAAAGTTGCCAGCAAGACAGAGGACCTGAGGCGAAATCTGCCGTTCGAAGGAGAGACTCGGGTTCCTTGTGCGCCATTTTCGCACATGTCGTCAGCGAATCTTCAAGATTCTAGTCGACATATTCAGAGTGGCCACGCTCAAACTCCTTTAGAACCCTCAGAAGCCATGAAAAACCTTTACTCTTTATTCCCTGATGTAAGAGATGATCATCTTCAAAGCTTGCTTAACAAGTGGTCGCACTTCCCTCAAGATGTGGCTATCAATTATGCTTGCAATGACTTGCTTGAGAACCGTGATTACCCTAAGAAATCATCCAAATTAAATAGTCCTTCAGGAACCAATACTCCCGGAAATGACTGTGTAGAGAAAGACTTCTTTAAAGACTTTTCAAGTCCAGTGTCATTGAAGTACCAAAACGAGTGCTTATGTTTACTTCAAAATGAATTCAGAAGGATTCCAAAGAAGCATATCAGGAAAGCATTGCAATTATTTCAATATCACTATGCACCAAGTAGAAGATATCTGCAGGAACAGCTTCAAATTTCTACAGATGGAGGTGCAACTGCTACAGTGACAGCTTGTCAACGCTCAAGTGCCGTGCCATCAGCCGCTGTAGATAAAACTTCTAATGTACTCAGCCACCAACCACCTAAAATTCAACTTCTTCGGTGTAGACACTCTACAGTACCACTAGATTACTCACACATGGATGAGGAACTTTTAAGGGAGATGGAATTTGTGAAAAAGTGTGATCTATCTAAAACTGCAGAGGAAGATCAATTATTTGCCTTAAGCTTAAATGACCAACAGTATGAAGAAGAAGGCCAGAAAATTGAATGTGGCTGTTGCTATGGAGATGCAGCCTTTGAAGATATGGTTCAGTGCCTGGATGGTCACCTTTTCTGTGCAAGTTGTCTGATGAACTATGCAAAGGAGGCTGCTTTTGGCCAAGGCAAGACTACTCTTGCGTGCATGAGTGATGGTTGTGAAGGCACATTTCCAATGAGTCAACTGAAGAAGGCATTACCAATTAAAATCCTGGAGAAATATGAGGATCGCGTGCAAGAGGAATCCCTTTCACTGGCCCAAATGGATGATTTTGTGCGGTGCCCTTTCTGTGATTTTGCAGCAATTTTGCCACTGGAAGAAAAAGTTTTTAAATGTCAGAATCCTTCTTGTGCTAAAGAAACTTGTCGCTACTGCAAAGAGGAATGGTCCGATCATTTTGGCTTAAAGTGTAATGAGGTTGAAAAATCAGCACAGAAGGATGTGAGGCTTTCATATGAAGAAAGGATGACAATGGCAAAAATAAGAAAATGCCCAAAGTGTGGGTGTGAGTTCACCAAATCAGATGGGTGCAACAAAATGACATGTCGGTGTGGAGCTACAATGTGCTATGTCTGCCGCAAGCCAAATATTCATTACAATCACTTTTGTCAGCACCCAAAAGATCCTGGAAAGCAATGCACAAATTGCAAAAGTTGTTTGCTGTGGAGTGATCCTTCAGAAGATGATAACCATGCAGTGAAAGAACTTGAGAAGGAAGCCCAAGAAGCGAAGAGGAAGTTTGAGGCAGAATCAGAGGACAACCCAGCTAAAAGGGTAAAGAATGGATAAGAACTACAGCTGTAATGTTCGTGTAGATGTAGCTCCTTGAGGGCATGAATTATGGTAATGTGGTAATATGTAATTTATGCCATGGGGCAGTCTACTCAAGGAAGGATGTAGCTCTTTGAGGATATGAATTATGGGGATGTTATATGATGTAATTTGTGCCGTAGGGCATTCTACGCAAGATAGGCCTTGATTAGAACAGTTAGGCTAACAAGGCACTCTCCATTCATTTTGTTGCCTCATCTCAGACTTTGTGTTGCAGGGGGGAAATCTTCAGATTTCATTTTGAAAATTATTGTTTAAAAATTCAAATGAGAGTTACATTTACAACACTCTTAAGGTTGGTGATCATTATGCAAAAAATCTGAACATCAGACTTCAAATTGAGTCACCAGTGTACTCTTGTGTAAAAGCAGTTTCTTACACTAAAATCATTTGAGAATTAGGAAGTAGTGATCTCAAATTATCATTTGATCACAATGATCTCCATAAAGTTTCATTTTCATGTTAAGTGTAGAATTTTTATCTACTTATTTGAAATCAGTGCTCAGACAAGTAATAAAATTACTGTGTCCTCTATTCAGTTGGAAAAGAAGCAAGATGCATGAGTAGAATGTACAGTTTGTCTGTGTAGAAGGCATTCAGAAAAAAAGCATGTGCAATTTTAATCTCTTGCCATCCCTTTAGGGTCAAAATCCTTTGTATACATGCAAGAAAAACATTAAGTAGTTTTTGTTTGTAGGTAAAGTGCATTTCCCCTGATACATCCTAGAGCCCTCAATATTGAGGTCTGACTTTTGAAAATTTAAGACAACAAACATGTATGTGTGAGAATATTACAGGAATATCATTTCCCTGATATACTTATTAGGGTTGGTAACATTTCAGAATTATGTGAAGGTGTAGTCTGATCATCCGGGTGAGTGTAGTCCTGAGAACGACTGTTGTCGGTGGTAGTGACTGATGTTTCAACAACCTGTGCGGAAGTCATCATCAGAGTCAAGTGACTCCACTTGACTCTGATGATGACAACCTCACAGGTTGTCGAAACGTCAGTCACTACCACCGACAACAGTCCTTCTCAGGACTACACTCACCCGGACGATCAGACTACACCTTCACATGTTACCCCCGGGTTCAAACCATTTACTGCATTTCAGAATTAATTAATATGCAGCCACCTCATGCATAAGATTCAAATCGAAATTTTAATTGCAATGCTGTACAAATAACAAACAAAAAGATATTTTTATATGCAATATTTGCAAGTCAGAAAATTAATACCTTATTTATATGATTTGCTATAATTTGCACCACATTCAAGTTAATATGATTAATTTAATGAACTTATTAGAGCATCAACTTTCCTATTTAAGGTTTTTTATTTTTCTATACTTGTAACACTCCAGCATGTGGTTTCAAATGTTTCAGTTCTATTGTTAAGTTACATTTTCCTAAATAATTTCTGGCCGTTACTTAATGTTAGAAATTAAACGAATGCAACCTTCATGGTCAGTAGATTGATAGATATACAGTTGTCACTTTTGTATGACCTACCACAATATAAGCCCTGAATTTCAGTGCAAATGTGATTGAAAAATTTTTAAAAGGATAAATGGACCCCCTAAGCTAGTACAGTACGTTTAGTTTTTCCATTGTAAATCGTGTGATAACACACAAGAGAACTGTGTCCTAATCACCCACCACCCACGTATGTAGGCACATTAACTACAGATAAAGGAGGAGGGGGGGGGGTGGGGGAATTCTAGTGAGAACGTCGTCGAATAGCTAAGTCACGGGACTTAATTATACCCTTAGAGATTGTGCTAGTAAAAGTAACATTTCATTAGCATTGCTCGATTATTTTCAAAATTATGCTCGTTTTTAAAATTATGCGACTATTTCTTTCAGTATGCTTTTCAGAAGAGAAACCAAAAAATTCAAAGATATATATTAATTTTATTTCTTGTAAATTATGAATTTTGTTTTCTTGAGTTACATACTGCTGCGATGAAACGATTAACTCTCACTTGATTACAGACCAGAAGTGGCAACTTCATCTGTAAAAATGTACGCTATTAGCGTTCCTTTTCTCTTTAACGCCTTCCTGCTTTTCTTTCTTGTTTCATTTCTTGTTGTAATTGTTGATTTTGGCTTCTGACCACGAGTACCTTCAAAGCGCCCTTACTTTTTCACAGTATGAGGAATGGTAGACAGTCCATTAACAAATCTTGGCCACGGGTCTCGCAAAATTTATATCCGATTTCAAATCCTCATCAGTCTGCGACGAATATAGACATCTTGATTATGGGACATTTTCTTTCGGTCTTGGAATCTCGCTTTTGTCTCCAATTACAAGTTCCCAAAGTCTAGCGGTTGTCGTTATAGGAAGTATTGGTCACAGTAGAACTGTGGTCTGTGTATGTATGATCGCTGTCGTTCGAAGACATTGCAGTGCAGGTGCTGATAAATCACAAAAACGATCAAAAAAGGGAGTATTGCAACTCTGACAAAAAATAACTTTGCGATAATCTTAAGCGAGGTTGATAAATACAGGCATCTATTATTCTATAGCTAAAAGCGAGTCTTGACTAGAGGAGCAATGAATTAAAAAGCAGTTCCATGGAAAAGGGATTTTGGATTGTAAATCACCTTGCTCCTGCATGTCTGATTTACTCTCGTAAACCATATACTGAGGGTTCTTTAGCTTCTCGTTAGAATTTCTGCCTTTCTGGTCCACTACTTCATTTGCAGGGATGTTACCTTCTACAGTACAACACCGGCCTAAGTAGTAGTTTAAGTTTAAGTTTAATACATTCCCCACAGTTCAACAAATACAAATAACTAATCTACATAACACAATACCAAGAAAGAAAAAGTAAAAATGGAGTGGCAGGAGAGAGGAACAGAACTTTCGTCCCAATTGACACCTAACCCCTGTTATATAGCAAAAAAGTAAAAGGATACAATAAAAAGGCTAAAAAGAGTTACAAGAAAGGCAAGTTATCAGTAAAAATTCTAAAATACTAACCTGGAGGACTGTATGAGTGAAGTTTGGAAAAGTATAGGTTGTTTAATTTGGATTTAAATGTTGGGAGCGAGGTTATACATTTCATGTTGGGTGGAAGAGTATTCCACAGTCCTGCAGACCTATTAAAAAAAATTTCGAAAGTAGTCCTGTTTGTGTTTAGATCTTATATTATAGTTGTTTGGGTCATAGTTACGGGTTTTGTAACAAGGATTAGTACATAATGAATATCATGTTCTTACTCTGTCAGTCCCCGAAAAATACATGCGATAATGCTGTTAAGTAGACCAGACCGATAAGAAACAGGTCTTACTTACGTCACAGTTTGTTATGAGTAAACCTTAAATAAACCACTTTCAGAGACTGAAATTTGAAAAAAGTATCATTTCCTTCTTTTCCAAGGGCCAGGTTCCGGACAGGGAGTTTGCCGTCAAAAAATATATGTTATGCAAATATTATCTTGTTTCGTCGATTTTCACCTTCTCGAGAATCCCGTTTCCCATGGGAGGAATTAAGAAGAAATGAAGAAAGAAGTGGAGGAAAAATTAATGGAAAGAGCTTTAATGGAATTAATGGAATGAGAATTAATGGAAAGAGCTTTAAGAGAAGAAAAATTACCTAAAAGGGGGACGAATGGTGGAAACCGGGATAAAAAGGTTCGGCCGGTAGGCGGGAAGCGGAGTCCCGTACCTTCCATCGATTTCTCATCTCATTCTTTTCGAGGCCCGTACTTTTGGTGAAGGCTAGTGAAAAAACCATTTAGTAAAGCATATTTCAGCCTCTAGTAATGATAATATTATTACCAAGACGATCACTTATTTTTGAGAACTGGTAATCTCGCTAAAGGCTCTGGTCTTTTAAAGGTAACTCCTCCAGTTGACGATTTCGGACTAAAATACCTCGCTTTTTTGAGTAGTATTTCCTCAAGGATGAGATTCATTGTAGTGGCTCCAGGAATTTTTGTCCAGTCCCAACCGTTCTCTATATCATGTGCCTTTAGCGAATCTTTGCTCTTGGCAATAATCATCTGACCATGGCTTTGAAAAATACCGTGCAAATTTTGACCTTTAGTGCCTCCATAGTTAGTAGATTATCCCTTTGCCTGACCCTAATTTCTTCTCAACTTGTTGGCATCGCTAAAACGATGATGAGCCGAAACAGCATTATAATAATCAGTCATTCTGTCGGCTGTCGTCCCTTTGAACTCGAATTTCTTTTCATACACTTCTCCAAAGTCATGGTACCATTTTGCAGTTTTGATCAATTTGAGCAGTCTGCTCTTGTGTGTGGAGTGTTTGTGTAGACTATCTTTTAAGTAAACGGATAGTATGCATATATGCAGCGCCAGTTCCACTCATCTCGTGATCTCAGGAGCCTATAGGCGGATTCATGCTGACGTCATTGTTTACATTTTTGCTCATTTGCATACGGCTTTGCGTAAAGAAGGAAGCATGTTAGATACAAATTGACTTCAGGCAGCTAAAGAGTTAGAAAACCTTAGTACGTGGTGAAATTTTTAGCTCTTTGGGTGTAATATTCAAGGAGAAATAGTCCATCAAAAACTGCAAAATTTCTGGGTGGCAAAAGCGCTAATGAGCTCATACATTCTATGTAAAATTTTGAGTTTTTAAACCCGTGTTGCACAAAAAGTATTCAATGCATCAGGCTCGTATTCATTGGCCGAGTTAATCGTACTTTGACCTTTCGATATTCAGAACTGATTTATTTTTAGCTCCATCAGAAACTGAATTGCTTATGCTAATGAGGCAAATATTGTAAACAAGGATTCCCCTATAAAACCGACTGTTTAGGGATAACTAATGTATCAGAAGCTGTATCGTTATACTTTTTAGTAAAGAGGGGCACTATATAATTGCCAGAACATAAACACTTATTGTGAGAAAGAAAAACATTGAGGTAGGTCCACTTCACCCTCGAATAACAAGAAAAGATAAACCGTCCA